AGTGGGAGAACTTGCACAATTGGTGGCTGACTAAATACTTTTTTGCCCCACTGTACCTGGAAGGTTCATACTTACCCATTTTACTCTATCACAATATGAGACTAAATAAAGTTTGTAACATGTTCTATTTAACTTGAAACAGTTTTGTACCTAAAGACCTAGTTACAGTTGTTATTTTCAGGGATTCCATTCCAGCCTAAAACTGTAGATAGCAAAACTGTGAGTGATGAGACTGTGAGACTTTGGGAATTGGGGTTAGTTTCTGGAACACATGGGTCATCTTCTTTGTTTCATGAACACTTCCTCCCTGTTCCTCCCACAGCGGTTGTCTGTACAATATATCTGCTCCTCCTTCTTTCATATTCAGTTGCAGTGGCAGGAGGTTCCAAATGGCTTCCTTAAGAGCACTTCCATCATCTTCAGAGCAGCTCATTCAGCTGGTGGTGAAAGATTTATGCCATGAGGCTTCTACTGCTCTCTGCTATGTGCAGCATTTTCGAGGTTTGGTGGAGGGGCTTCTTAGTTGCAAAGCTAGAATCAGTTGCATACCAAGACTGTGAGAGAGATGGAAGGGACAGAGAAGCCAGTGTAAGCCACATGCCAAAAGCAGGGTTACTTCCTCCATCACTGGCAGAGCAAGTTGCCCTGAAAAAGTCCAGATGCTGTGAGGAAGCCTCGCAATGAGGCCCCAAAGGGAACAACCACAATTGAGTGAGGAAGAGCAAATGTGCAGATGATCTAATCCTAAATTATGTACTTTATGTATGCATAAAAGTCCACCTGCCATTTTGCACATGTATAGTGAGATCTAATCTCCACTTATCAACCACCGATATACAAACTATACATAAAGTGATTGTCAATGATCAGGGCCACCTGTATTACCAACACTACTCTGAACCCATTTCAACAAGGGTACAGGTATTGTACAACCTATCATGCTAATCTGCATTGTAGACTATGTTTTACACTAATGCACAGCTAACTACACAACATACAATATAGTTAATTGCATGTCTATGTGGACAACCACCCCATTTGGGTATAACTGATCTAACTTTTCCACCCTTACTACTATTGGAGCTTCGGTGTGAATGTTTTCAAAGAGTGTCTGGAATGTTTGCTGCGTATTTGAAAGAACCACATTCCTAAATTATTTCTCCCCAATTCCTGTTGTTAACTGCCAAGTTAATTACTACAAAACATATTGTGTAGCTTTGACATATAGCTCACTATTCAGGTATTATAAAACATTCTAGTATTTTTATTCTAGTACGGCCTTAACCTAGCCATTCAAATACTGCAGTTTCATATGAATAACCTCAGGCAACAAGTATACACACATATTCGCCTGGGAAATATCTTGAGGCAAAGTGAACAAAATATTGCCCCAGAAGCCCTCTTTTCTTTCATTCTTTATGGGAAGTCACTTGTTGAGCCACGTGACCTGACGGGGATCAGTGAGAGGCCAAAATGTGGCAAAGTTGAGAAATGAAAGAGTCCTGCTTTGAAAGACAGAAAATCCTAAATATAGACAGGAATTCAAAGTCTATATAGGTAGCAGTTTTCAACAGAAAACTTTTATTATTCAATTACTGATTTAAACAGAATTCAAATCAGAGGAAAGAGAAGAAAATGGCCCAAATTATTAGCTGACCTTGCACATATTTTCAGCATTCAGAGTCCTTCATACAATTCTAAATTTGTGGTCATGGCAAAATTATGAATGGTCTCTTAGGATTGATGCTTTTTGGAAAGGTCAAAGAATATTTTATACAGCGGCAAAATGTTAACTGTCCTGACATCTTTCACCAGCCGTAAGCCAGTTGTTTCAAATGGTAGGAAGGCCTGTTTTTTTTTTTTCCCCCCCTTCTCCTACCTTGGGAAACATTTGCTCCATTTGTTGTTGGCTTTTCATCTTCATTTTCATATGAGTTGATGGCTGGCAAATATCCACAGACTGCAACTGAAGATATGTGGCCTACCATGAAAATTAGGAGGAGAACAAGGCATGATTAATTTTTACTCTTTACCTTGTAGAAAACTGGAGTAAAATGAATTCATCTAGTAGCAAAGAAATAATTCATTAAGAGAAAACAAAATTGTTTAACCCCTTCAATTAAAAATAATAATAGAAAAAATGAATAGTCTCCTCACAAGTAAAAGTATTCAGTCTAATTTTATGAGCATTAGGATAAAACATAGTTTATATAATGCACTGCACCCCATCAATTTAGTTGGTTACTATATATTTGTTTCCATAGTATGAAGAACTCAAACAATGTTAGCATAATCTTGACTACCCCACTTTCCCTCTTAATCAAGGGAACTGCATACTCTACTAAGCATTGACTCTTTTTCTATCAATGCGTTTTGGAAGAGATTTATACACAGGATCTGCACACAGATTTAACATTCAAAATATATTTTCAAATGGATTTTTTTTAATAGACTGCATCCAATGCTACTCAGGTAAGAAGACTTCCCTGTCTTTTCCTTTTAACTGCAAACCTTCTTTAGTGTTACCAAATTATCCAGGTCAGATCTGAAATGGATGTAGGAGAGTGGCATAGGAAGAAAATCTGTCCCACCAGATATGTCCACCAGCAAATGAAGACCATTGCATACAGTCCTCAATTTTTAAATTACTAATAATTATTATTTCATTATAGCCCAACACAAAATAATTGATAAAAACACAAAACAAATGGAAGCAAAAGTAGGATTAAAATTAATACTAGCCTTTCTTTTTCATGGAGGAAAATTGCTAACATTAATAAAGGATATACTTAAATACATTGATTTACTGAAAACAACCTTTCCTAAACTGAGATCTTCCAAGTAAGAGGTTTGGGGCTCTGGGATATAGATAAGGCTCCACCCAGTTATTCACAACCCTCAGAGAAAACACAAGTGGGAGTAATTGACATTTGTACCACAACTTCTGGGAAATACCAGATTTCCCACTTTCACTTTATTGCTATATTACTGCTCACGTTACTGGGGAACATGCTAAATGGGAGTTTCAAAAGCAAACAAACAAAGATCCCTGCAGAATTCCTTTCTTCTGTTTGCAGGATTCTGGAAATGTGGTTTAGAAGTGCATGACAGCCAAACATGCACGGACTTAGAATGAAACATCATCAGCATTTCAAGAACTGCAGGCGAAGTTACAAAGAAGTAGCAGCAAAGGAAATAAAAAGGATTCATAAATATGTCATACATGTATGCAAAGAGATGAGATGCCTTTCAGTTCTCCTCTTAGACCTTATGAATATAACCTGTGAGTCAATGCTACTCCCCCCTGGTGCCATCCCACATGGATATAAATACAGTTCATTCAATGGCCAACTGAATGGATCTTTCGGCACTCTGGAAAACCCATGGCAAACAACTTAATCATAAATTAGGAAGGAAGAATAAACCAAACAATGCTGCAGGAGGACTCATTATTTCAAAACAGTGACACCTATCAATATAAATTTGTTTCCATTTCAGGAAAATGTCACAAAAACTGCTATTAAAACAATCTATCAGTATCAGACTTGCAGAAAAGTTACAGCTATGTAGCTAATTTGATCCAGGCCCATTTACACATTTTCAAAATTTAAAATTTGTAATTTGGAACTCCTAGAAGGAAGCTACTTCATTTGTTAAAAAACCAGCAACCTTTGCAAAGTTTAAATTAATTGGAAATAGTTTTCCAAACACCTTAGTTCACAAATCTAAGGTTCCTGTAAGTCACAAAGTTGCTGCACCCTGATTCTACCCAAGCATGCGCCACTACAAACATCTGCGTTACAACAGGTTGTTTAATTTAAGCACAACCCAGCTGAACAAAGAGAGGACAGATATCACTCTTCCCGAACCTGTGGCACATGTATTTTACACTTCTATTTTACACTTACTTTGTAAACAATAAACTTCTGTTCTTTCCTCTCAGACTCACACATGGTTTACAAATAGAACTAAAGAAAATGCATAGATTTATTGATTCTAATCCCCAAAAGCCCACATCTAATAACAGCCCAAGCTTAACCTCAAGTATGTTAATTGCAGAATATAGTATATTACCAACAGGAAAATTAAGAATGCTGTAATCAAGGCATGAGATGCCTAAGTTCTGAATGAGGATTTCAGTAACTGAAAATGAAAATTATTCTAGTAGTTTTGAAGAAACATCAACATCTAACAAGGGAAGCAACACAACTTGAGACAAAAGGTTTCCAGAGCTGTGTATTTAATGGTATTTTCAAAAAGAAAGAAAATATTATGATAAACCATCCAGTTGAAAAAGTTGGTAAAACAATGAGGGACAGAGACTTAGACTTTGGGAAGGTTCGATAGTAGAAAAACAGATTGGGAATAAGGGTAATGAAGATGGTGAGCAAAACTGAGTTTCCAGAAACAAAAGGCAAGAAGAAAAGCAGGCTGCAAACTAGGGGCCCCAAAGAGCCCTTTCAAAGAATGGGAGAAGTGAAGCAATATATTTTCAGCAGGAACAGAAGAGGACCAGGGAAGGGCTTGAGGAAGAGCAAGAGGTGGTATCAGGAGGCACAAGAAAAATAAAAGAAACATGCTCTCCTACTAAGCTTAGGAAAATAATTTGAAACTCCCCAAACAGACTGGACTGAATTACAGTCATATTTGCTGGAGTTCATGAAAAAAAAAATAATAATAACCTGAAGCCAAGTTTGGAGTTCAAGGAAATCTGAAGGAAAGAGGGAAACAAGTTAGAGGGTTAAAAAACTCTAGCCAGAATTTTTCAGGGATAAGAAAGGAAGGAAGAATTAAAGCTGAAAAAGAGGAGGGAGATAACAGAGTTAAGAGATGAAAGGCAAGATGAGGACATGCAAAGTGAGCCAGTTCAGAATGGGAGCCTGGAAAAGAGGGGAACAAAGAGAGGATGCTCAAGAGATTCATATAAGAGCTCGCCAGTCTCTTTTTGGAGAATGGAAAGACACCTTTACTATGCTTATAACTGCATCTTCCAATTGAAAAATGAAGTCTGTCAGCCAAAAGAACACCAAAACATGTGAAAGCTAATTAATAAATTATTAACATCCCTGCTAAAATATTTTCAAAAGATCATGATTTACATTTTTCTAAAAGTTAAAGAAGAAGAGATATCTAACCTGGTTCATAATGAGAAAGACAGTTCCCAGGATAGCCATGCCCCAAGCCATTTACCATTTTAAAAGATTAAAACGCTGGAGTCCAGAAGACAATTGACCCCCAACACGGTTTCATTACAGGGGTGATGTGATTACAATACTCTGCACAAGGGAGCAGCCTTACTACTGCAATTTCTATCCACTGAAGCTTCTGGATACTCTTACTTTTCTTCAATACCACACACTGCAGCACTCTACTACCATGATGTAGCCAAATCATGAATAAATATTGCCAGATCAGATTAATTCAAGAATAAGTACATGGCTTTGGGGCATGAGATGCAATTGCACAATTGTCTTTCTGGCCCTTGGCACCCCCTAAAGATCCTGAGACCTCAGGATCAAGAAGCATGTCAGACCAAGTCTGCAACCTGCTTTTTCAGAAGAAGTGCAGCTCCTTCCAGTACAGACCAAACCCCAGTCTCTGACTTACCAGGATTTAGCACAGTTGCAAAGTGCATTTAGGAATATACAAATCGTATCCTGACCCTAATCCAACCTTTTCACTTTAAAAGTGTAAAAGAAACGCCAGTAAGACAGTAGCAATTTCCAGAATGAAACAAATCACACAATATACCTCAAAATATTATAGGATCTTTTTCAAAAGCACTTGTTCTCTGAGCGTATATGGATTAAATTTCCATATTAAAGTAAACGATGCTGCTAGGTTTGCTTCCACATCTCTTTAGGTTCTTTTTAGTGACAGATTTTTGCACTCAGTAGTCAAAGTGTGCCAGCACCGGAGTGAGCGATACTATTGGGTGTTAGCTGCAGCATGCTGATACATCCTTGAGAACTAGCACATCATTAGTGATACCTTCACAACTAAGGTCAGATGCCACGCAAAGCAGTATTTCGTTAAGGCAACTGTTTAAATAACATTTGATTTAAGCTCTTTATCATCGGTGCTCTTGAACTGTATGTACAGTATGCATATATGTGTATAAGCATTTATGTATGTGTGTGTGTGAGTGTGTGTGTATATGTGTGTGTGTGTGTGTCTATTAACGGATATAGACTAGTCAGTTGAAAGCATACTTCATCTCACAAGGAAGCTAGAATCTACTCATCAGTCCAGTTAAGAATTATCTTGCAGTGAAGTTATTAATAGGCACACAGTGAAACAGAACATCTATCCATACGGAGTTTTCGTTTTCTTGATTACATCTATCAATTTGTCATACAACTACCATAAAATCAATTCAAAAAAGTTGACAGGATTCTATGCAGATATGTGAATTAGAACTAATGTATCCTCTGTGCTCATTAAACTCATGGACTGGAACTGTGAATCACATAGGGGATAATCTAACACAAATTTCCATTTATATTTAGTTTTCAAAGTTGTTAGTCTAATTCAATAATTTTCTTGCATCTCTGAGAAATGCTTCTTAGCACACGTGGAATATTTTGAGAGTCACATTTGCAAACTGAAAACTGTTTGTATTAATAACTGACTTGTCTACATAGTTATTGCAAATCTATTTTTCTTATTAATTTTGGCTAGCTGAATCCTTCCACACAATCACTATTAAACTATATATCTGTATAACATTCAGATGGAATCAAATCATAAAAACGTTTGCCTCGTTTCTCTTCATTATTTCTACAAATGTGTTGATTGCTTTGAACACTTTCTCTCTCAGACGATAACCTGAAATGCATTTTGATTTTAGTTCCAAAAGACAGTGGCTATTCAACTGTATGAAAAGGTGCTTTTTCATTCCTCCATTTTATTTCTCTCACATATATGTGAACAATTTCCCTTGCTTCACTCTGCCTCACAGTAATAAGGATTCAGCCAAGATATATTTATTTTAGGCCAGGCAAACACGGGTCCATGTGGCCTACCTTTGACTGGGGCTGGATGAAAGGCAAGAAGGGCCTCCTAACGGTTTGGTGATATCTCCACTAATCCTCCCTCCTTTGGGGAACAATTACAGATGTCACCCAGAAGGTATCTACAGGAAGGTTTCCAAGGCATATTCTGAAAAGATTTTGCTTTTGAGCCCAAAGTAAAGTATTTTGGTATCATTCTGAATGAGGGTTGCTGGAGTCACCTCAGATTGATGTCCCTAAATTATCATAGAAATTGCTTTCCAGATGCAAACAGATTAGATACTCTTTTCAAAAGGATTAGACCAGGGTCCTGAAACTCTTCAGCTCATCAACCCCTTCATGAAGTTTCAGATTGTTCATCGACCCCCAAACTTTATATGAAAGTAATGTAATAAATACTACTTTAACTAACAGTACAATGTAGAATAATAACAATAACAATACTGGATAGTCCCATTGACCCTTGTGGGTTAATATTGACCACTTTGGAGAACCCAGGATTAGACAAATATGAAAGATTAAGTCTGCAATGAATTACAATAATTGAATAATAGTTTAATCATTTGTTAATTAGTCATAATTCACCACAGGCTGCATGCTTATAAACACCAGATCGGGGGGGGGGCAAAAGAAGTGACAACATCTTAATGCTCTGCGGCTGTGCTTCCCAAACCATTCAGATAGCATCAATGAACTTTGTTGCAAATTTCATAACTGGCTTAAGACCAATCAAACTGAATGAGTACATGAAGAATGAAGACTTCTAATTTTCCCTGATACACCCCTTTCTTTTGCACTACCCAAAGGCCAAGGGTAGCTTTCACAAATCTGACCTTGGCCTCACATGCAACTGAATAGCCATGAGGAAGAGAAAGTAATGCCTTCCCTTTGTAACCTAAAACCTGTGGCAATCCTCCAAAACTACTGAACCTGGGTGAAACAGATGGTTTGATCCCTTCTTCTTCTTCTTCTTCTTTTTTAATGCATTTATTATTAAATATTGAAATACTATTTTTAAAAGGCAAATACTGGAATGCAAGGGAAATAGAAAAAAGAAGAAAAAGGGCAAGATGATCAGAAAAAATCTACCATGTTTAAACTATTTTTTAAAAAAGCATAGTCAAAAAAGAATTGGTGGATTATATCCTCCCTTTCCCTTCCGTTTGTATCCCAAACCATGGGTCATAGTTTAGGTATTTGCACTTTACATCAAATATTAGTAATTGTTGTTCATTTCTATTTAAGTTCTAAAAATGGTATTCCAGATATCTAAATCTGCCTTGCTCTGTGATTCAGTATATGAATAGGAGCCATTTTTGCCTGAATTTGGTTAACCTTCTATTATGTATACAGTATATACTGTCAATTCTGCCATTGCAGCATATTCTGCCATTTTAATCTCCCAGCCTGATATCGTAGGCAAGATATCTCTTTTCCAATATTGTGCTAGGTTTATTCTTGCTGTGATCAACATGTATCTTAGTAAATTGTAATGTTTTTCATTTATTTTTTCTGGAATTATACCTAGTAGAAACATCTATGGTTTCAGTTCAAGTTTTATTTTAAACATTTTTTTTAAATTTCTTTCTTTCCTTTTGAGGGTTTTTTGACCACCACATGTGGTAAAATATTCCTTCTTTGCTATGGCATTTCAACGTTTGTTGTTATCTGCTTTATCTATCTTGGCAATTGTAGATGGAGTTTCAATTATGCAAGCTGCACTGGTTGCCCAGTTTGCTTCCAGGTCCAATTCAAGGTGCTGGTTTTAACCCTTAAAGCCCTTCATGGCATGGGACCAGGTTATCTGAGGGACCACCTCTCCCCAATTATATCAGCCCGCCCCGTTAGATCCAACACAGAGAGCATGCTGAGGATACCATCTGCCAGGGACCTACATTTGGTGGGTCCCAAGTGGCAGGCCTTCTCTGCCATGGTGCCTGCTTTATGGAATATTCTCCACCCCTGACATTAGGTTAGCTCCATCCTTTCTGATGCTTCAGAAGTCCCTCAAGACCTGGCTATGTCACCAGGCCTGGGAGCCCCAGGGCACCGGAGACATGTCTAGATGGCTTCACTATTGAGGTGGATGGGGTTTGTATATATTTTAATCTTAATTAATCTCTACTTTTAATGTTGACTTTTTAATATTTTTAAATGCTTATTTTTATGTACGTATTGTTTTCTATTTGATTATTGTACGCTGCCCAGAGTCACTTCTCATGAGATGGGCAGCTATATAAATTTGTTTAATAATAAATACATAAATAATGCGTAGAATATTTTATATCAATATTATTATTGTTATTAAAATTTATATGCTGCCCAACTCCCAACGACTTTTGAATTGTAGCTTGGAATAAATTTTACTGATTTTTTTTTCCATAGCTGTACCTATTGGTCCATTGTAAATTACTTCTCTCAAATTTTGCATCCATTTTATGATACAGTTTTTAATTTATCTCTCTGTGTCATATTTCAGCAACAATTTATATAAATGTCCTAGTAAATGAACTTGGTTTTGTATAAGCATTTCAAATTCTGTTACCCTTCTCAAAATCCTCCTTTTCTGAGATTGCTTTTTATTTTTCCAGTTATTTGTAAATACATTAACCATGATAGTTTGTCCTTTCTTACTGCAACCTGCTAATCATGATTGTTCATGATTTCTTTTCTTTGCACATAAATCAAATCTACACAAATGTATTATTGTCTTTCTTCTCTACAGTTTTCCTTAATATAATTTCACTCTTCACTTTGCATGGCATATAATAGTTAATACAGATCATCTTGCTGAAAAGGCCCAAAGAGTCTCAAATTCTCTAGCTGTAAATACCAGCCAACTACTAAATTTGCTGTAGTGTCAGAAAATAATTCAGGAGAAATTGATGGGATCCTACTTAGGTGAGATATGGACTTGTCTTATTTTACATAATGTAGTCTAAAAGGAACAAAACAAGTCACTTGCCCAAGCAAACCAGATTTTACACACAAACTGAAGACAAAAACTCACAACACATTCATGAATCAAATGCAATACCTTAGTACAGTGGTCCTCAAGCTTTGGGTTACCATGGCCAGCTCCCTAAAATGAGAAATGAATTTGCATAATCCATAAATAACATGAATTAATTGGTGTTAGGGTTGGGCAAGACATAAATATATCCTATTTAATAATGAAAATGTAACCTATATTTTAATTTATTTATTGGGTCCTCAAACTTTCTTCTATAGCAGCTACTGCCTATTATGGCCTTGTGCAGGCAAAATGTGCAGAGCCCACATGTGAATTTTGACTATACTGCTATATTGCCTGCAGAAGCCTAATCAGATTTAAAAAATTGTGACCTCCCCAAGTTTCTGGTAACCACACTCCCCCCAGTAGAACTATTTGACCCATACTTTGAGAATTCCTATCTTCACAAACAATTCAATCCATGATTAACTCTTTAGTGGTCTCAGCACTCTGGCAATTTGACCAAAATACACAATCAAATCATAGCAGGACTTTATATACAGTGGGGCAAAAAAGTATTTAGTCAGCCACCAATTGTGCAGGTTCTCCCACTTAAA